TGCTACCAAAACATTACCCTGATCTAGAATTAAAATCCGATTTATTGAAGATCCTAGTAATTTTTAGGTCCAAAAATTAAATCCATGTTCCCATCATCAGTCTTCTTCCAAATTTATTTCCAATTCTACCTGGCACCAGGATTTTATAAAAGACAGAAAAAGAAGAGTGAGGAAAAGATTCTGTAAAATCCTGACTATAGAGGCATAACACCGTGAACATATAAAAAAGAACAGAAGGTGCAGATAGTAGGCCAGGGGTGGGAAGACATTACCACAGCGAAACCTAAAATGTTGTATTCTCTTGTTTTCACGTTAGTTCTTTATAGAATACACTAGCTACAAAATTTTGTGCTTAAATTGTACTTTTTAAAAAATACATTTTCTTTAAATCTTACTTTCCGAAATAATTTAAATGTCATTATTTTCAGACAGGATATGTATTCTGCTAATAAATGGTTCACCTGTCATCACACCACACCTGGACATCTGAATTTTCACAACATTCAGAGTTGTAGGAGAATTGTACCTCAAATATTGGTGAGTGCAGGCTTTGTCATATATTCCCCCCACCAGAATGTAGTCTCCCTCAAATTTATAGGGACATGAGCATGTTGAAAAATACTTCCATTACTAACTGGCTTTCCAAAAAACTTGTACAAACTTAGAGTGCCACCAGCACAGTTCTTTATACCCTCACTATTCTGGCTGAAAATTAGAAAGCTATTTAGGCTTGAACAAGTTCTCTGACAACTATTAAAGAACCTTTGTCCTTAAATAAGTGTGTAAATGTGAATATGTAGTGAGAACTTCCTATTAATTAAAAAAAAAATCAGTCAGCCGACTCAAGGACAAACAGAAAAATGGATTTGAAAATACAAAAGCAAAGTAATGGCTTGGTAACCACAACAATTTGCTGCTTACTGTTAATTAATTTTGAGTGAAAACTATTTTAATGTAGACGCTACACAGCAAATATTATAGTTGTTTTTAAATGCACTGTTATTTGCCAACTTATTAGCCATTCTAAGAGCCAACACAGTGGAATCAAATAGGGCAGGGACAAATTAATAGGCTTTATCATGGTAGAAGCTTAATGTTATATAAAGCTTAAGTTTGTGCCTACTGTGACTTTTAAACACTTTTAAAACAATAACAACTAATAACAATGCAAGTTGATAATATGTGATCTAACGGAGTATCTGGAGTAAGTTTCATCTCAGAAAAAGTAATGTGGAGGCAGGACGCTATATCCAGGGAGACATGACATCCTTCTGATAAAGTTTAAAACAAAGCTGTGGCAGAAGTATGTCAGCATACTGAATGCTTCACAAACAATCTATGTTTAAAAGTCTTATTATTCCTTTTTCTGTATGCAATGTAAACCTTAATTCTAAAATTGAGTATTTTTTAGAGACAGTAATCAAGAACACAATCGAGATAATGACTTCTCATCTTAGTAGTAAGAGCATTTTGCTTCAGTAATGTAAAGCTCGTCTTTTAGTTAGTCATAAGATATAACTGTTTCCTAGCTACCACAATCAAGCATTTCCTTTATTGAATGCTTAAAATAGATGAGAATTAAAATCATAGGCAATAATCGTTCCCCAGCAGTTTAAAACACAGAAAATTGTGTCTAACAAAACTGCAACAATACCCCACCTTCCTCACATGCAACATTAGGTGTTGAGAAGTTCATAAACAAGTGCTAACAACAACCAGCACTCAAGGTGATACTCCAACTAGTCCAGGTGATATTCTGGGCTGTAACTGCTCCACCCGGGTTTACTGTTGTTGCTGTGTGCTATCAGATCCATTCTGGTTCATGTTTACCCCATGTGAGACTAGAATTATTCTACAAACACTTCTGAACGTTTTCTAGACTGAAGTCTTTACAGGAGCATAGTGCTACCTACAAGAGAGAGGCTAGTGGAGGTCTGAAACCTTAGGGAAGCAGCCGCATAGTGAACTATTGTGCCATATTCTTAAGTCTTTCCCCTCTTGTATTTCTCTAATACTCAGTGGATATTTCATGGCACTTCATAAGGACTAAATAAACATCCACATTCACACTAAATCTCACATATCGGTTTAGAGCAACCCCTCTTCAAAAGATGTTTTCAAACTAAATTTCATTTTATTTCCATTTCATGTTTTCTACTTGGTCATGAAAAGTTACTAGGCATTCCCCCACCCCCCAAAAATACTGGGAACATGGTGCAATATCTACTGTTCTAATTGTCCTACAACTTTCTAACCATACTGTGCCTATGAATGATCACCTACAATATTTATAAAATACAGATCTGAGGCTCTCACTTGATGCTCTTGGGTTGATTCTGATGCAGATGGTCAGACTCACAGAACATGGTACAAATAATTCCTAAATGTATGGTTAGTTTCACTCCGAGAAAAATCATCATAAATGAACATGTCAGCTGAGTTTTATCTTTTTCCTTATAAATAAATATAAATATAAATAGGAAAAGTTATTCTTTTTTTATCAATGAACCTGGGGTCCCGTTTTTAGAGCTGTGCCTGAAGACTGTACTTCGCTACCAGTACATTATTAAAGTTTTCTAAAGAACATGTAAAATGCACCTTAAAACAGAGCAATTATATGAAAACTATACAATATCAGCATATTATAGACATTTTCATATAAATTCTTGTTTTACATGATGTTCATTTTCTACTGAGAATATATGCTCAGACTTCTGAACTCTGGTGGTTGCAGTGGCTAAAGCATTTGAAAGTTAACCGTAAGACTGGTGGTTTGAACCAATGGAGAAAAATGTGAGTGTCTCCTGGCATAAATATTTAACAGCTCTGAATCACAGGGGACAGTTCTATTCTGCACTATTAAGTTGTTCACAAACTGGAATTAACTCAAGGACAGGTGGTTTGGTTGTCTGGTTAAGGAGACCTCTGATAATAATTAATTTGATAATATATACTCAATCTTTTAGAAATTAATACTATTTTATCAATTTACTTACTCTTATTTTCCCTGTAGAAACCCTAAAACAATTTTTGGACTTCTCTTTGGAAATAGGAAGCGTTACTTACTTCACCTTCATCTATTTCTCTCAGTATATGGTGAACAACAGAATTTTTATCAGTTGTTTCTGACTTGCAGAAATAGTAATTTCATATAGTTCATTCTAAGTAGTTGCCTCTACAAAATACCATCAAGCTCTTAGAAGATATTTCCCATCCTCCATTATTTAATGTTTCTTGTTTCTGTATCCAAAAGTATCAAATTTCTGATGTAAAGGCAGAAAGTATAGTTTAATTCTAAACCAATGCCTTAACTATTTTATGACAATCTGTAAATTTAAATATAGCCCTGGTGTGTTCACTTGCCATACAGAGGTAACTTGTGGTTCCTGTGAAGCTAAACACTGTGACACCGATGTCAGATGTGTTAATGGTTACCTATGGTGGACAATGTTTGGTGGAGCTCCCCGATTAAATCAAGCTTGGAAGCAGGAGTGGCATCCACTTCCATAAAAGCTTGTCGATGGAAACCCTATGAACCTGGAGAAAGGCTTAAAGCCACACAAGTGTTGAGGACTTTCATTCAAAGGGTGGCTATGAGTCAACTACGACTTGACGGCACTTAACAACAACACTACAATAATGGTTACTACTGGTTTTCACTTTAACAGTCATTATCATCTTGTTCAAATTATTCTTTGAAGCACTTACCTTTAATATTATTTAAACAAACAAACAAAAAAAAACCCCTATTATTCATAGAAAATCTAATAAATAATTCTTGTAGTCTTTAGTATCTTCCCTCTTTCTGTTAGACCTGATCCTGTCAAGTATTGTTTAATATGACAACTGCCTGTATCAAGAATAAACCATGCAATGTATCAAGAATAAATGAAGAGTCAATGAGCCCTCGTAGATGATAACCAAAACGTCAGCAATCTGGTTCTATCAGCCACCCCACAGAGAAACTGGCAGAGGTGAAATGGACTTGATGACAGTGGGGTTTTGTTTTCTTTTGGGGATATGGGTTGGGGTCATGGAGGCGTCTCAATGCTATAAACTGAGGGTACAGTGAGGACCACTTTATCTTGACTCTGCTACCGCTTAGACCTGTGTCCTCTTTCTTCCATCCTTTCTCACACACTACTACCAAATCTTTTCCACTAATATAGATTAAATAATATATGATTAAAGTAGCAAGACTGTATGTTGTCAATGGCAACAAATTTAGAAGATCTGGAAAATGAGGTACATATGCTGAATTCTGATTGTAAAAAGTTTTGCTATACCATGACTTAACTTATTATTAAAACATTCAACTAACTCCTAGTTACACTTTATTTTGCAATGGGGACTCTTGCACCTTCATATCCCCACAATCCATACATTAACTGTCTATCTTCTACTTTTATAATTTCATTTTCCACATTCCCCCTTGCAGTATTCTATTCTCTGACTATACTGTTTAATCTTCCTAAAAAATTTAGATGACTTATCTGAAACTTATCATTCATCAACTATTAAGAATTCAGGTCATGTATATATAAAACAAGTGTTATAATATGAATACATTCTGGGGAAGGAAAAGAAAACCTCACCAAGAATTTAGCTTCTGAAATGCTAACCAAATACAATAGCATTTAATTCAGGATAACATTTAACTGAGGATTAACAAATAAACATTATTTACATGGCATCTGAGAGTTTGTAAGTTTCTCTGAGTCATGTTCCAGTGCATATCAAAATTATGGAAGTGGATTTTAAACAGTGAAAGCCAGATTTTTTTGTTACAAATATATTCTTGAGATCATTCTAACATATTTGAAAGAGTCAGAGAGTTAAACCATGCAGTAACACATAGCTTCAAATAGCAGTCCAGACATCTAAAGAAGCATACAGAGTTCAACAGTTTGGACTGATAAAAATTTCAAATGCATAATAAAAGGGTATTTTGAGAATAGTTAAATAATTTGAGGTTCTATTTACTTTATGAAAGTACTCACCTGACTCTTGCAAGTATCTATATACCAAGAAGTTGACCTCATCACTGCTTATACTCATCTTTATTCCCACTTAAACCATGAGGTCACAACACAGGATGTAACCCTAAAAACAAAACAAAGTTAATTAAGCATTTTCTCAATTAAATATTTATTAAGATGTAAACAATGTAGAAAAACTATTTTGTTTTTATTAAAGTATATAAAATATACCTTCTGTACTATCTACTGATAACCCTACAAACAGGTATATCCAGTAATTAGTGAAATAAGTATATATCTCAAACACAAACTTTTTTTCTTTAAAGTAACATACTGGCAAAAATGATTCCAAATTCTCAAGAGGGCTTCAGCATCATATTTAAATGCTTATAAGAAATAGTATAGGGGAAAAAAAATTTCTTTTCTCCTGAACTGTTTTTTAGGCTTTCGGGGTTTTTTTTGTTTGGTTTTTTTGTGTGTGTGGTTGTTGTTGCATTGTTTGTTATTTAAAGTAAATGTGAAAATCCAGAGTACTAATTACTTAGCAAGAGATTTATTTATTTTAATTGGGCAGACTAAGTAATGCAGATGGATAACAAGCCCATTACTCTTATTTTACCTAAATCATCTGGTGGAATTTAAAGTCCCTCTCTGTCACTAATCTGCAATGTTCACATTTACTATTATGTAATAGTAATATGGGTATGCACAGAGAAGTTGGAATACAGTTGCCAAAACTCAGATTATTTTCTCTTACTGACCATTCTTGGATTTTACGTCACCAAGCACACAGGCGTAAATTAAGACTTACAATAGAAACCATTTAAAGAAGAGATCAGAAAACTGTTCTTTAAAAAGTCAGAAAAATATATCTCTCATGTTTTGTCAGCCAGACCCTCATCTCTGTTTTAACTATTCAACTCTGACTCTGCAGTGCATAGACAATTATATAGCATCTGTGAATAAGTAAGTGTGGGAGGCTGTTGCCTAGTGAAATACTATCAATGGACTCTAAAATCTGAAGGGTAACACAAAACTGACAATCACTTCAACCCAGTTCCACTGAGCTGATTTGAACTCATAATAACCATGACAGAATAGAGCCCATAGAAGCAGAATGCCTTATCTTTCTCCTGAGGAGTGGCTGGTGGTTTCAAACTCCTGACTTATCCATTTGTAGACCCTGGGTAATCACAGCTCCCTTTGCAAGATAACTGCCTTATTTAAAGGACAGAATTCCACAGACCAGGGAATTTAAGATTGTGGGTCTTAGTAAATGGCCCTACTACACCATTACGGTTTTAAGATGCAGAGTTCATGAAATACTTTTAAAATACAGATTTTAAAAAAGCATTTGAGGGAAGATCAGGGACTGCTACTGCCTAAGTAGTGACTAAGCACTAATCAAGCATAAAGTTCAGAAAAGAACAAAGCTAAATAGAGAGCTAATAAGAATTTTCCAATGAGCACACACAGGAAGTCCTAACTTACGTCTAGGAATACATCTTAGAGGAAATCTCTATGATGTTCATTCAGACTGCAAGGTCTGAGGTGGGGGTGGGATGGTAAAGAATGTTTAGGAAGGAAGTAAAGTAGGAGAAGCAGTCCAATGAGCATTAAATCCATGGAAGAGCTCACGGAGGACAGAAGACGTGTGTGGAAAGTAAAAAAAACAATGAAAGAAATGAGGCATGAAATAAGAATTGAAATGTAGACAAGGACCATATTCTGAAGGGTCTTGGAAAGCACAGAAAAGGAATTCTTTCAAATGTTTCTAAGCAAAGTAAGGTTACAACCACATTTACACTACAGAAGAATCATCTGCCTATCTTATGAAAAACAAGAAGGAAATGCATCTAGACTAAGGGTACATGTTAGGAAGATGCTCCAATAATCCAAAACATTATAGTCTGTATCATGACAGTGAAATCTGGTGAGGTACAGAAATTCAGAAGACATTTAAGTAGTAGGGAGGAATCCAAGGTCTCCTTTTAGTATGACTGGATGGATGATACTGCTATTTGTAGAGTTAGAAAACTAAAGTGAAAGAGCGATTTCTTCACATGCAAAAAGTAACCCCTACTTAAAAAAAAATCTATAAAGTATAATCTTATTATCACTTGACAGTTCAATATGTACTTCAAGAACACTTACGGTAAACACTCTTCCTTTAGGTTAATGTGGTATGTTAGATGATAAATGCTGCAGGAAATATTGTTAACCTTTCTCCTAATTTACAGTTGGAAATGCTGTAGGCATGTGTTTCACACACACCAAGTGTGTCCCCCACCAACTTTCTCACCATAAAATTGCCACACCATCAAAACAACTATGAGATATCATCTCACCCCAATAAAAATAGCAAAATTTAATAGAACTGCAAACAACAAATGCTGGCGAGGTTATGGAGAAACTGGAACCTTTATGCACTGTTGGTGGAAGTGTAAAATGGTGCAACCACTATGGAAGGCAGAATGGAGCTTTCTCAAAAAGCTGCAAATAGAAATACCATTTGAACCAGCAATTCCACTACTGGGAATATACCCCCAACCATTAACTGCTACCCAAGCAGATATATGCACACCTATGTTCATCGCAGCTTCGTTCACAATAGCAAAGAGTTGGAAACAACCTAAGTGCCCATCAACAAACGAACAGATAAGAGAAGCTGTGGTATATTCACACAATGGAATACTACGCTGCATTGAAAAACAAGTCATGAAATATTATTCAAAATGGGTGACCCTGGAGGACATTGTGCTGAGTGAAATATCTCAGTCACAAAAAGGGCAAATACTGCACAGTGCCACTGTTGTAATACAGGACTGACACTGGGGTTGGGGGAGACTGAGAAAGATGGGATAAATAATGTATACTGCATTGAAACAGATGAGGGAGATAAATGTTTAAAAGGGATATATGATTAGGTATCATTGTTATGACAGGAGTCCAAAATGAAGGCTACACAATGGAGTGGACTTGGAGGAGGGATTGTATAACAATGAAAGAATTTTTCTTTTACTTTTCAAAGAGAAGAGTGAACGGGGGGAGGGGTGGGCAGGGAGAAAAGTGCAACAATGAATGAACAGAAATCCAAAGTCTCTCTAAATTTTTATTAAAATTAGTAGTAGTAGTAATAATAATAATAATAATATCTCCACACCACACCCACTGGCAGCAACTATTCCAACTCTGACTCTCTGTGGCAGAGTATAGCAAAATTGTGGTACACCCAGTAGAAAAGAAATTACCTTTTAAAACCCTGTCAAAATAAATAAATTTTTTTTTAAAAAGCAACTAAATACAACCCCTTATGAAATTACAAGAAATCAAATCATCTCCATTCACCAAGCCCTCCAAAAATAGCCATGTGAACTAAGCTTGCTGGTCGCATGCTTCTGATTCTCTTGGAGACAATTAGCAGCAATTTTAACCCACCCCCCCCTTCTTCAAGATTTCAGAAATTAAAAGTCTTTGATAAGCTAAGAGAAACTCAAGGGAGGAATACTGACATTGAAAGCACTGTGTATCTTTTCTTCCTCTAAAACATTCAGACCAAAACTCAAGTAAAGAATGCTGGCATTGAACCAAGTATTTCAGATGCTCCTTGTTCTGATTCTGGATCTTCAAATTCACCTACAATATTCCTTAGTTCTTTCATGATTCTTTTTGGGTGTATATAAACCCCCACTCCCCAAAACACTCCCTTCAAACCCAGCTCAACTGGACCCATCAAAGTGATAACTCTCTGCCTTCTTGTTTTAGTTCTCACAAATAACTGTTTGAGAATAACTGTCCACTTCCTGGTCTATTTAGCGGTACAATTATGAGTGGAAAGAAAGAATAATCTTTTCCTTTATATTATCTTTATATCCTATACTCCTAGGATAAGCAACTGCAGAGCAATCAACTCCCAATGGTTTATTGCCTCTGAAAACCCACGGAGGGTCAGCTACGGGTTGGTTCTGGCTTCAACAACAGGATGAGCCCAGTACTGGGAAAGTTACGAATAGAAAGATGAGACTAAGCCTTCACACTTTTGTAGAAAGAGGAAACACAGAAACAGCTACCTTTTAAAAATGCTAGTTATTTAGCCATTTCAGTCACAGCTCCAGAGGAAGTACAGAGACTCTAAAGCCTACTTTCAAAGACACTTAATTCCAGAATATGGTTTAGTATGAAATTAATCCTTTCAAATTCAAACATCAAAAGAACACCTAAGAAGAACAAGAAGAGATTGAACAGGCCCTTTTAAAAATCCCTTTTTAAAACATCTAAAAAGTATTCCAAAAGAATAAATTTGACAACATACAACTATTGCACTAGTAGCTTCTCACTGTAATGTTGTAGAACTGGTTGGTGACTTTGGTTAGCTGGTTTTATGGAATAACCAAGGCAGTCCCTCTATAGTTTGCTCGATGTATTCTTCACCTTCCCTGCGTGTAGACTAAGTAGGCCTACCTCAGATATACTGCAGGTTCAGTTCTAGACCACCGCGATAAAATAAGTTTTGTCATTAAATGAGTCACACAGTTGCTTCTCAGGGCCTAGTGGATAGTGAGTTGTTCTGCCAACTGAAACGCTTAAGGTTCAGATGTATACCAGCCACTGTAAGGGAGAAAGATGGACAATCTCCACGCATGCAATTTGCAGCCTCAGAAAACTTGCTAGTGGGTCAGCTTAAGAATGCTATGGCAAAAAAAAAAAAAAAAAGTACTATGGCAATGAAGAAAAAGAAAGTAGAGCAAATAAAAGTTATGCTTATACTATAATCCACTATATTAAGGGTACAACATGGAGCTCTGGTGGCCTAATGGTAAGGAGCTTAGCTGATAACCCGAAGGCACGGCACGTGCTTTGAAACTATCAGCTGCCACCCAGGAGAAAAATGGGTAAATCTGCTCCTGTGCAATTTAGTTCCTCTGAAAACTCAATGAAGGGTCAGCTATGGGATTAAGTTCCGACTCAATGGTACACAATACCAACAAATGTGCAATACTATTACTAGAAGATGTAAGATTACCAAAACTGCCAGAGGAACAGAAAGGGAAAACATCCTGTTGGGAAAATTGGGGCAAGCGAGTCCTCCCACAAAGATGCCAAAAACAAATGTTGACTGGAGCT